CCCACCGCCAGCTCTTGGGCTATTGTAATCAACTAATGAGATTTAATTGTCACTCTTATAACGCATCCACGGTCCTAAAGTTGCGGAAGCGGCACTGGAACGCGAACCAAAGAGCCTACGGATTCATGGTCTGGCACGCTATCCGCTATGTCACACAATATGTCAGAAGTCACTACTAGTGTATTTCTTCCAATTCATTTTTTAATGATGAATAATTAAATACCAATCCAAACATTTTCTTAATTATTCTCCCTAATTGATTAAACCAAAAACAGTTTCAACGTATAAAGAAACTTCTACTCTCAGGATCTAAAATGGTAACATAAGTAAAATGAAAAATATGTCTATAATATAAAATCTAGTAATGTTTTCAAAATGAAGGTGGACTTTCTAATTAAATTTATGAAACATATGTTATCAAATGTCCAGACAAATGACGTTTTTCGTTTTGTTCTGAAAAATAATTTTGCTTTAATAAATGCTCCCCCCCCCCCCCGGTGACTTTGCGAGAAGTCTGAGGGCTTATAACGTTATAAATTGGGTTTCGACACCCGCGGTGGGCAAAGCAAAGATAGTCCATTGTGTAACTTTGCGCTTAACGTCAAACAAATTTTTCATAAAATTTATCATTTTTACCATGGTATCATTAAACTGAAATTCTTAGCGGTAACTAAACGTGTCTCTTTAGAGCGCGCGCAATATAGTTGGAGTTCATTTCACGTAGCAATTACCGTTAAAACTGAGTAATAGCCGATATAAAAACTTTTATATTAATGAAAATGAACGAAATAAAAAAATGATTTTTGGAGACATTTTTGTAGCGATGTACAAAAGCGGTATGTCTGCGGACATACAGCGCTAGAAACCGGGTTTCGATACCCGTGGTGGGCAAAGCACAGATAGACCATTGTGTAACTTTGTGCTTATTTCCAAACAAACAAACAGAATAGTTTGGTACTGAAATCCTCGGTGTATGAATTACTATATTGATATTGTGCTTATTTCCAAACAAACAAACAGAATAGTTTGGTACTGAAATCCTCGGTGTATGAATTACTATATTGATATTGTGAAAACAACAATTTTTGGTTTCGTAACGAGCGACCGACAAAGAAAGAAGAACATTATTTTTGTAAGTACTCTTCATTTTCGAGAAACATATTTTGAATAAACATTCTCCAAAATTGTCAATTAGCGTTAGTTATGTTTAACTTAGCCCAGCGCTATTACTAAGAACTGTCAATTATAAAACAAAATATCTTACGGTATGTTTTAAGTACCAAAGACAAAACATTTATTCGTAAGAATTTTATTCAAAATTAGAACTTCTGTTTTGAAAACTTCTAATTTCTAATACTACACAGATGAATGAAATCCAATAGCTAATTACAGGTAAAGTTTACCTAAATATTTCTTCGGATAAATGATAGACTATCTTAAATATCTTTATACCTGTTTATATTCTTACAGCTGGTTCTTCTCGGGCAAATGTATAAAATCTTCTAGCATTAAGCCAATAGAATCCACTCAAGACTTCTACGTTACTGAAGGATTAAAATATTTACACTTTTAAATCCAATTGGAATATTACTTTAAAATCACAAATCAGGCGACGTCTGGTGATAGAAATTGAATTTTGTGTGTTTCACAAGTGCACAAATGATCGAAGATCGTTTGGCAAAACAAACTGAGTTGTCGTGGCTACCACGTGATTGGTTGAAAGTCAGTTGCACGAAATGATTCAGACGATACTATGACGAAGCAAAAATTGTCATGGTATGTGTAGAAGTGCAAAAAATCCCCATTTTTAGTGAGGTAATGAACAATCTCTATAAAAAAAAAACATTTAGAGGAGACGACTTGAAATTTTGAAATAGGCATTTAAAGTAAAGAAGTGATAATATCAAACTAATTAAACTTTTTCTTTGAAGTTGAAATTGGACGCCATCTAATATATATATATATATATAATTCCAGACAATTAGAACATGAACTAACACACAATAAAATACATAAGTTACTTAATAATATATTCATAGTAACAAAAGCATTAACACTAAAATAACATACAGAGACAGGAAATTTTATATTGGAATCTCGGTACAGTTTTCAATGAAAATAATAACGTTTATATAAAATTTGATAACCTTATTTGTTTCTGATTGTCAAGGCGCTTATGAATAACAAGAAAATGTTCATTTGCAAATAAAAACAATTTAATTATTACATTTTGATAAAAAGGGTTAAAAAAAACGACCTTTACACTCCGGATAATTATAAAAAATTGTTCGTTTGTAGTTTAAGCACAAAGCTACACGGGTATCGAAACCTGGTCTGTAGACATATCGCTGTGCCCCTGGGAGGCAATTATAAAAGAACTTTTTATTTCAACTAACGTTTGATATTAGAATATTCGTTAAATTATCTAACCCTTTTTTATCAAACTGTGTACATCCCTCCAGTATGTACTTCAAATTTTGAAAGACAAGAAAACATTTAATTATTACTATCGACATAAAAAAATTTATACAAGCCTGAAATACTGTCTTTCTTGTATTCTCGTTGTTATATACAAATACTTCATCAGTCCTGAATATTACTCCTCAACAACTCTAACCAATCTACATTTTACAAAACGTGAAGAATGTCTGCAAAGAAATAAATAATTTTCTATAGAAACTTTTGTTGTAATTTCAGAGATTATTAATATTTTACTAGTAGATATGCGTGTTTTTTGTTTTTTTATTATTAAGTAGCACGTGTGATATGATTTGTAAGTTCTTAATATTTCATTATTATTTTTTACGGCATAGAACTGGAAAGCATAGTAGATGTGCTCCGTGACGAATGGAACTGGTAAAAAATAATTCCAAGCTTCTTGGGTACAGATAACCAGAAAATCAACACAGCTTGGACACGGTAAACACATCAGCAGCAACAAGTAAGCGCAAACGTCACCAGCTGATTCAGTGGAAAAACCTTGTCGAGTAATTTTCCTTTGAAATCGTTACTTCGCCTACGGGTCGATTAGTCGGGAACACACATCATGAAAGTATGACCATTATTTGCATTGACTTTTGTAAATGTACTGTTAAGTTCAAACACTCAAGCAAACAAACATATGCGTGTGTGAGGATGAAAAATAAACATAAAAGATAATTATATTTTCAGTTCGATGTACACACACACACACACACACACACACATATATATATATATATATATATATATATATAGAGAGAGAGAGAGAGAGAGAGAGAGAGT